AATTTACTTGTGCAGTGTGCTTACATTTCCTAAGTCTTTGGGGGTATGTTCCCCCTCAGTAGTGGAATAGACTTTTGACTTTTATCGGACTCGGATTTTCGATAACCTTGGGAATAATTGTGGAAGTTTTCTTAGACTAGCTTTGGTATTAGTAGAATCGGGTCAGTCTCGATCCCGTATGGGCTTTGTGGCGAGTGAATGTGGAGTTAGGGATTCCCAATTATGTACATGGTAGTGATTCCTCATGTGTAACGGCGGGTATACAAGGTGGTAATAGGGTTGGTTCGGCTTACGTGCTTGATCAGGTTTGGGATGTAGTTTGTAATTGGATTCAGAGTTCAGCTATCATGCTATTCTAGGGTCATGTGCGATCTTGAGTTGCAGGAGTTTTCTTGGATAGCAACTTATTATATAAGTGAATCGTGCATGGTGGGATTTCAGCATCGTGGCACTGGTTGGTGTGTGAAGGACGTTGGTTAGGTTTTTATTTTGGACATGGTTGATAGTTTATTAGGAGCATTCCAGTCATGAGCTAAGGGCCAGGTGGGGCATACCAGACTCATGTTGTGGGATCAGATGCAATCCAGACCTATGCTGAGGGCCTTGTAGGGGTATTCCAGTCATAGGTTGTGGGCCTAGTGATCCTAGTAGTTCATTCTTCTGTTGGAGCGCTTTCTGAATGGACACGTTGTTGAGGTTCGGGCGAGCCGTAATCGGCTGCGAGGAATCAGAAGAGTTTGTGCGAAATACACAAGTAGGTCCCTGAACCTCAAGTTGTGAGTGTAGACCAGAGTTCGTATATAGTGGTGTTATGATCTAGGGTATTCCATCCTGAGGATGACTGGACCCGTCGGGGACATGCCTGGTATTCCAGCCCGAGGCTGATTGGGCCAGGTATGAGTGTTTGAGCTTATGAGGCGGTCATTAGGTGTATACGATTCAGGAACCAAAGGAAACATTGTTATGTTGACCCAAGAGGGTTCATCACCCAGTTTTCATCTCGTTGTTCATTATATCGCTAGGAATTGGTTATCAGAACCAAATTCTCTTGAAGGAGTACCTAATCTCTTGTAAAGAAGAGAATTACAGGTAGCAGTGTGGGATTTGTGATTCTGTTATCGGGTGGGAATCCCAGGTTCTTAGCAGTTGAGTAGCCAATTGGGAGTTAAGTGCAAGGAATTCCATCTCAAGAATTTAGATTTCAGATTGAGTACATGTGATCGTAGTGCAAGGGATTCGTTTATTTCCAGGTTTTAGAACCCTGCGAGGGTTGGTTGCGGTTGCCTTGGAAAGGCTAGGGTTATGCTCAGGATTGTAGCCAAGTAGTTCAAGTTGTTGGCGTGTAAAGGATGATAAGAAACGATTTCGGGGACGAAATCAAATTTAAGTGGGGGAGAGTTGTAACATCCCATTTAAAATAAAATAAGTAAATAATAAATCCGGAACCCCGAAATGTAAATTTATTATTATTCTATAGCCAAATGTCATGATTTAGAGTTTTGGGGGTTAGAGTGTAATTTTAGGATTTATTTTGAAGAGGATTGTAGAAGGCAGGGTGTAATTGGTAACTGTCGGACTCATTGTGGAAAGAATTTGTGGAAACAGGGGTTAAAGAGTAAATGTTGGACTTAATTTGAGAAGAATTTGTCATGGAGGGGCCTTTTGGTGACGTTTGGATTCAATTTTAAAGAAAGGGAAGAAGGAGGGACCAAATATGGTATTATGGGGCAAAGTTTCGTGAAGTGGGTATATAACAGTTACAACTGGAAACCCTAACCCTAATGTGCACATCCGCCACTCAAGTTCATCAGCCGCCACCACCGGTTTCTCTCTTGTGTTCTGACCAAATGGAGCTCCGACGACCGCCGCCTACTGCCTCATCATCGAGATGTCGTCATACCTTGCTGCCGGACGCCATGCACGAACGAAGAAACCACCGAGAGCGACTTCCAGATGGCGTGATGGCGTTCTCAGATGCTCCTTCTCCTCGCCACCACCGAAGAACCACTGGAGCTTGCTGACCACTGCTATGCTGCCGATGCGAGACAACCAGGAAGATCGACGGTGCGAAGGATTGCTTATGACGTTGCTGTTCGACGTGGGAGCCCTCGCCGCTAGCCGTTACTCCGTCGCCGTAGCGAAACTGCCACTATCGGAGAGTGAAGCGTCGGCCGCCGCACCACTGTCTACAATCGTGGTGGCCTGTTGCGGTGAAGCCGAGCAACCACCACCCTACTCTTGTCGTTGTTGCCTTATCCGATGGGAAGGACCGATGTGGCTGTCATCAGAATCTATCGCCATCTGCCGTCGGTGCGGCTGCTGCCGTCGCCAAATGCCACCAGGTGGGTGGCTGTGCTACTTCTCTGGGCATAGGGTGTTGTGTGTGTTATTTCTATGATGTAAGGTTGGTTTTTTTGGCCGGAAAAGCCACCACCACCATCGTGAGGTGGTGGCTGCCACCACTTACCACCACCGGCCACCACAAGGGTGGCTGTGTGTGTGCGTGTGTGTTATTATTAGTGTGTGTATGTGTGTATTATCAAGTTGTACATTGTAATGGTGCCAAAATAATAATAGAAATCTCGAACCACCACCGTATGGTGGTGGCTGCCGCCACCGGCCGCCGTGTCGGGTGGCGGTGTGCTTGCCTCGTTGAGTTTGATTCGTTTGGGGTGCTTGAAACCCTAATGGGCCTTGTAAGCCCTAATGGACCCAATGAAGCTTAATGGACCTAAAAGCCCAAGCATGTGACTAATGGGCTTAATAATATTCTAGTGGGCCTAATAGGCCCAATAAAGCCCTAATTGACCTAAAAGCCCAACAAATTGATAAATGAGCTAGTATTTGGGTTGGAAACCCTAATTAGGGTTTGGAAAACCCTAATGCCAGTAAAACCCTAATTTTGGGAATCGATTGAGACACATACACGAGAATTATTTAATAAGCTTAAAATGTTAAATAATAATCATTGGCAAATTAACCAAAGCAATATTGGACTTAATGGATTAAGTCCTTAGTGGATTAAGTCCTTAATGGGTTAAGTAGGAACACTTAACCCTAATTGTCATTTTATGTGAAAACCCTAATTTCACATGGGCCTTGAGTTGGGCCTTCCTAGTGGGCTTTGGTGATTGGACTATTGATGGGTTGTCCAAGAACAAGTTAACGGACCAAAATAAGTAGATGGGCCTTAAGGAAAGACCATGTAGAGGTCTGGGCCCAATTTGGAAAATTGGGCCATATGTTGGGTTTTGGTCCATGATTTGACTTTTGGGCTTTTGTAGTGTGAGTTGGACCTTGGGCTTGGAACCCAATTATTAATTGGGTATTGTTTGATGTTGACAGTTCGGGAATCTGTCAACCAGCAGCGGGAGCTTTACCTGCGGGACTTCAGCAGTGCCAGGTGAGTTATCCTCACTATACTAAGGGGTCTAGGGCATCAAGGCCGGCCCATTTGTTATGTTATTCTAGCAGTGTTAGATGTTGGGTATGAGTTAGTGTTGCATGCTAGTGGTTATGCTAGTTAGGTAGATCTGTAGGACTACCTGTGTTGTTATATGATTATCTGCATGCTCAGTAGTTATGTTATATGTTGATATGTTATGGAGGATGGGTTGAGGTGATACTGCTCTATGCGGTAACCAACAAACTCGGGAGCATTAGAGATACGAGCTGTGGGCCCGGTAGGCAATCCAGACTCGTATTGTGGGCTCCGTGGCAAACTAGATGTGAGCTGTGGCCCGGAAGGCAATCCAGACTCACACTGTGGGCCGAGTGGTAATCCAGTAGCTGGAGCATTCCAGATACGGGATGAGGGAGACTCGTACTGTGGGCTCGATGGCAATCCAGATGTGAGCTGTGGGCCCGATAGGCAATCCAAACTCACACTGTGGGCCCAGGGGTATTCCAGTCTGTAAAGTTGTGGACCCATTGCATGCTGTTCAGTTTGTTATGTTATGATGTTGCTGACATGGTTATGTGGACTGTATGTGTATCGGTATTTTGGGGGTAACTCACTAAGCTTTCGGGCTTACAATTTTAGTTTATTGTTTCAGGTACATTAGGAGATCGTGGCAAGGCAAAGGCGTGATCGTACAGCTCCTCACTTTTTACGAATTTGTTTCTAGGATACTCTGATATGATACATTTTGAAAACAAGTTTGTAATAGTTAATGGATTTGAAATGTTTTTAAAAGTTAAATTGGCTTAAATTTTTCGGGTGTTACATATAAACTGACATAGAAAAGAAATAGGGATGAAAACGGATTCTATGAAACTTAAAAGGCATGATATTAGGGATCATTGATAAAAAAAAATTATTTCTATTTGATTCTTTTTTTAAAACATGCTAAAGATAAAAATATTCATATTCCAAATTTAAAACATTTCAACATTACATTAAATTACTTACTTTACAATATTATTATGTAATTTAAAAAAAAAAATTGCACAGCATTTTATTATCAAAATACTTCTATCAGAATGATATATCAATTTGGCTTCTAAAAATATGCATAGTGTCTTATTCTCGAAATAATTCTATCAAAATGATATAGCAATATGGCTTATAAAATGTATCAATATGGCTTATAAAACTCTTCACATTGTTTTGTCTACAGATCATTCTATTAAAATAATATATCAATATGGCTTAAAAAAATGTTTACTGTGTGTTATCTCCAAATCATTCCACTAGAATATTATAATAATACGGCTTACAAGACAATTAACTTTTAACCTGTTTAAGTATAAGTCATTGTATTGCTCATTGTTTACACATATTATTTTTGATATTATGTGTTTTCATTTTATGAAAAAGTAAAACATTTTTAATGAAATATAATAAACATTTTTTTTGACATTCTGTTGGAATGATAACTGGATGATTCTATGAATATGAACTAACGTTAACACTTTATTAGCTATAAACATAAATATATAAGAAAAACATATAGAATTCATCAAACCATACTTTTATTATACTGAAATCAAACTTAATTACCCCATATAGTTCTTCAAACAAGACTTTTATTTTACTGAAATCAAAGTTAATAATATCTAAAAACGTCCAATTTGATGAATTTCTTATACTTCTATACTTTCTTCAATCCAAAAGGACAGTTCCTGCAATCATGACCAAGTCCAAAGCATGTTTTACATCTTCTTTGTTTCTTCACAACTTCATTCACCAGATTCTTGGGATCATTGACATTACCCATATCCTTCCCGGGATTCTAATCTTCATTATCCTGTAAGATTAACAAATTGGATACATATGTATATGTAAAAACGGTAAAAACATATAAACATCAAAGAACAAAAATGAATACCAGATTACGATTTCCAGTATGAACATCTATTGATTGTGTAAAACAAAGTAATGAGCAGATAAAGGAATTGATATTTGTGATCTGTGTGTGGGGGACGTTTCAATCGGATATATAGAGAAAATTAAATTGATGATAAGTAAATCAGTCATAAATCATTGCCTAATACAAAGGGATAACAATCAGAATAAATAAATTACAAATAAGAATTAAAATAAAAGATTACATAATTACCCTTATATATTTAACAATTAATTAATAATTTGCTAAATTGTGATTGGTGCATCCATGCACACAATACTTATTGAAAACATTTGAACCTAACTCTCTCTCTCTCTCTCTCTCTCTATATATATATATATATATATATATATATATATATATATATATATATATATATATATATATATATATCCAAAAACTTTTAGCCTATAAAATATTAAATTATACTATATATTTTGAATAGTTGTTTATAAATACCTTAATGTTTGAGCACCAAAAATGGAACATGATGAAGGGGTTTGGATGATTGAACACATGTGGAACCCTTCGATTATATTATCGTTGCAACATTGTGATATTATAAACATGCTTGATATTTAAATTATTTATAAATAAATAAAAAACACAAAAATATATCACATCAACACAATTAATCCATTTTTTTACTATTCTAAACCAAACCCGATTTGACCCTACCAACATCCACCACCCAAAATCAAAATCAAAATCAAGGCCAATAATGCCCAAACAAAACATTAACAACAATATACCGATCTATTTAGTAAAGTATGAATCTTTAAAAACAATTTATCTAGCTTAAAAACAATTTAAACTAAGTTTAAATTTAGTGTATAAATAACTACACTTTACTCATATGCTCGTACATAATGTTCCAAAATTAAATTTAAACATTATGAAAACATAATAACCACATGCTTACTCGTCTGTCTCTAAATATGTTATTTTTCAACACTTTGTTTGGCATATATATATATATATATATATATATATATATATATATATATATATATATATATATATATATAGGATAAAATACAAGAATTAGCAATATAGTATATATAGGATAAAATACAATAATTAGCAATATAGTTTCATTTTTTTGTTTATTATAGCATCCTACTTCCATTTCTTCCTACTATAAAATTATACTTTGAAAATTTATACCTAATAATAGCAATGTCAACAGAATACAATGCTATAACTGAAAGATTTAAAAAATTGGAAATACAATGCTATAACTGAAAGATTTTTCAAAATAAGAAACAAAAGTAGGATGTTATAACAAACACATAAATGAAAGTGCTTTGCTATTTCTTGCATTTGACTCTACATCAATACATCATGAAACATGATAATCAATTAATCATGTATTCATGCAATTAATCTTTTATAAATATATATGGCTAACGGAAGGGTTAAATGTAATAAATAGCTTTATAAGAAAAAAAGGACCAGATATATTTATCAAAGTATAATTACCTTTATAAGAAAAAAATTGTAAACATAATGCTGTAATGGAAAAAGAAAATCAAAATACGATGCTATAATAAAAAAATAAATGAAAGTACATTGTTATTTCTTTCATTTAGAGTAAATTAACTAACTTGGTCCCATTTTCCACATTCTCTTGATCCTCCATACACCTTTCTGGATTCCATCTTGTAATTGTTCGCTCTTCAACACTATAATTCCCTAAACAACAAGGTGAATCAACCCCGATTTCACCATTTTCACCATTTCTGTTTACATAAAGAATCAACAATGTCTTTGCAACACTACCAGAAAGCCGAAGCATACATTGAAAATCAGACCAAACCCTCAATCTATCATTCCCAATTCCATTCCCATCTTCATTCCCATTCCAGTTCTGATTCCGATTCCATTCAGGGAAAACCAGCACACCGTATTCAGAGTGAACAAGTGAAGGATGATGACAGTATGCCACAAAGTCAACACCATACTGACACCCGGACCTCACGACCCAATTCTTGGCTCTTAAATGAGAATAAGCTTTAAAGAAATCAGGAAAAGATACCCTTTTGGAGGTCATATTGATATAGTCCCATAACTCATTATTTGTTTTTATAACATTATCACCGGTTACAATCTTTATACAATTGAGAGAAAAAGATAGATAAAAGGCTTCTTCTACAGTCAACTGAAACCATTGTTTATCTTTATCGATTGTTATAATTGGTCGACCAAAACAGGCTTGATTTAGAAGGTCAGTTTGGTCAGGATTAGTTGCAAGAAGTACACTAGAGCCTGATAGTATTCCTGAAGAATTGGATTTGATTAGAGAAGATTGGAGATCTGAAATTGTCTTTGAAATGGGATTTTCTAGGGCTTTTGCTTCGGACCCTTTTCCTTTCCATCTTGGTCCACCCATTAAAACCTTCAAAAAAAAAAAAAGATGAACGTGTGTAGAATTATATGTAGAGAAATTTGGTCACTAAACGTTTAAAATTCGTTATTAAAACCATTAGACTTTAATTGTCCCTAATTGGAAAAGCATAATGAAATGGAATCACAGAAATAATCACAAACAGACTCCACACAGGAAATACAGGAGACAAAATCAATGGCATATAAACACTCCACACACAAAATCAATGGCATAGAAACACTCGACACAAACACACACACACACACACACTCCAGGCAGATATAATCATATACATACACTTCACACAGCAAATACTATGGAGTTGAAGAACTGGAGATGAAACCAGTAACGATGATCAATGGCATATTACCTGATGGACGAAGTCGCTGATGGGTCGAGGTTTTCTGGAGCAGACGGCCACAAGGCGACAACGGCGGTGTCGAGGTGCGTCGATTGGGTTTTCAGCCTCATTAACGTGGTTGTTTCCGTAATTAAAAGAGTAAATTACACGAATGGTCCTTATGGTTTAAGGTAATTGTCATGTTTGGTCCATAATTTATTTTTTTAACTCGGAAGGTCCCTACAATTTTTTTTTGCACGTTTGGTCCCCGTCTTACCTAAAAAGACTATTTTGCCATTGATTTTTAAATTTATCTAAATAAGATGATGTAGGTTATGTAAGGTAAGATAAGGTGGAAGTGAAGTTGGGGTGTGTTTATTTAGATAAATTAAAAAATCAATGTCAAAATAGTCTTTTTACGTAAGACAGAGACCAAGTGCGCAACAAAAACAAACAGCAGAAACCTTCCGAGTTAAAAAAATAAGTTAGAGACCAAACGTGCAAATTACCTCAAATGATAGGGACCATGCGTGTAATTTACTCTAATTAAAATGATTTTAAATAACAAATAATTATAATTTTTATGATAGTACATACTAGGCTATGAGGAGGGTGTTACGGATATTATTTTGAGAAAATTGTAAATTTAATCAAATATCTTAATTACTTTGTGGAAAATAGCCAAAAAAACGCAAATTACATTTTTAGCCATCAAAATCGCAGATGGATTAAGCCTATCTGCAATTTTTGCAAGCCATCTGCGAACGTACAAGTCGCTAAGCACGGTTGTGCTTTAGCGACTTGTACGTTCGCAGATGGACTAGTCCATCTGCGAACATAGCTACCCATCTGCGATTTTCGAGAATGCCAAGTATAAAAACAAATTTTTTTTTTTGCTTCATTTTTCACTCTTTTTTGTTGGAAAACTCTATCTGGGAAGCGATTTTTGCAAGCCATCTGCGATTATGGACGATTTCATGAACAATCCCGATAATATGGTAAGATCTTTACTCATTTTGTGTTTTAATCATCATTTATCAACATTAGGCCTTGTTTATTTACGATTTATTCCGAAAATTTGAAAAAAAAAAAACGAAACTTTATTGTGTTTTATTATTCGATTTTCTTAGATCTATGTGTTATATTTGATAGTTAGTAGATTTTATTAGTAGCCTTGAGGTTTTGATGGTATTTGATAAGTAGATGTATGATTGTACAAGTGTATAATATGTAAATTGTGCATTGTGTGGTTGTACCTTTTTGTTAAAATGTTTAATAATATGAATATTTGATATAATAATGATTATTGTTGTTTAATGATGTTGTACATTTGCATTTTGATGTTGTACATATAGTTTATCAAAAAAAAAATTATTTAATTGATATTGTTATAAAAATGCTTATAAATAGAAATATTTTTTATATATATAATTGGATTACTTATCTTGGTTATAAATAGATATTTGGTTTATTTTGTGATTGTAATTGCCGATTTTTTTTTAAATATAATAGTTTATAAGCTATTGAATTTTTGTTACAATAATATGTTTTCTAACATGTTGTATAGCAGCATGATTATAGAAATCTAAATATTAAAGCTGTTGTTAACCTAAAAGGATCGGGATGTAACATATGACAAGTATTTGAAGTATGTGTGGTGTGCGACGGGAAAGTTTTAGAAACACTATGTTTGGTTACTTGTTGGACGTCCCTCAATTACAAGATGTCACACCCCTAGCCGAGGCGACGGAATACGCCGGGCTGTGCGACTTAGTTCATGGATCACAAGCAAATTGAATATACATCACAAGTTACAACAATAACAACATAGCAGTTACATTACACTTTAAGGTTTGAATACAAGGTTCATAATAATAAATTCATAAATTTGCCTTAACAGATAGGTCGATATAACAAAAGCTAGACAAAACTAGGTCGCCTGAAATCCATGACTAATCTTCTGACTGAAAGCTCGTTTGATGATACCCTAAAAATACATGAAATTTTGAGGGTCAACACAAGGTTGGTAAGAGTTCACAGGTTTTCTGCTAACCGCAGTAATGATACTTTAAAAGATTAAAAAGTATTCCATTTATAGTTTAAACCATGTTTGAAAATGTTTGATAAAATAGAAATTTATGAGTAAATTCATACTTAAGGTATTTGATAGACAGAGGAATCGTGAGTAAAGTTCATACTTAAAATGTTTGATAATAGAGAAATCATGAGTAAATCCATGCCCAAAATGTTTAGTAATCAGATAAACCGTGAGTTAATACATATTCAAAATGTTTGGTACTCAAAGAACCGTGAGTAAATTCATACTCAAAATGTTTAGTACTCAGAGAAACCGTGAGTAATTCCATACTAAAAATGTTTGGTACTCAAAGAACCGTGAGTTAATCCATACTCAAAATGTTTGGTAATCAGAGAACCATGAGTAAATCCATACTCAAAATGTTTGATAATCAGAGAAACCGAATCCGTGGTTTCTAGATTATGAGATCTAGTTAATGCTTATAGTGAGTCCTATAACCGAGCTATGTGACTGTACCTACCCCTACGACGCTTCATTGGATGTCGTAAAACTGTTTTAGATATTTATCACCTGCTTCGATTGATCGGTCGAGGTTGTAGCTAGCAACCACGGGTGGGGGTGTCAACCCGTATAGATCTATACATACGTATCTCAGCTCCGAAGATTAACGGTTATAGTGGTGTGGGTCTTCTAAGTGTTTGTTTTCACTTAGGGTAATGAATAATGTCTCACTCATAAGGCCCTTAACTAGAGTTTGTCATGAAAAGCCGGTTATACTCGATAAGAAAATCCATAAAATTGTGTAATGCTCGTTCAAATAAGTGGTAATCTCATGGTAGTGTACACAGTACATGAATGATTTCAAGATAAGAGTTTGATAACTCGTATATGCATGTTTGATATGAACTTGAAATACTACAAAGGTGGTAACTTTTTATGACTCAAGCTTTATAACATATTTTGTCATAAAATCATGATATTTTGTATGCAGAAATCATTTATCTCGACTAGTTGTATTATTTAAAAACAGTTGTAACATATTTACATAAAACATAGTTATTACTAGTTTATTTGTAAATAAAATATTATTTAACGAAATAATATTTATAAACTAGTTTTGAAATCGGTAAGTGTTTATCAAGATCAATAAATATATATAGCACATGTATTCTCCCCCAAAGCGCAAAAATATTAAAAAGGGGCCGTAAACACTCACCCTTGAAGCGTGAACGAGGTTCGAGGTGTGAAACTTGTCGTGAAGTTTGTTACGTGACGTTTCGTGCCCTTAAAACAAATCACCGGGTCTACTAATATTACCTAATAAACCAAAAGGATAATTTTGGTATTAATTATTAGCTATAGGGTGGTCTTTATTAAAATAAATATGGTCTAGGGGTTGATTTTGCCAAAATCACACTCCATGGACTGATCGATCTTGCAAATAGTTCTCAAACCAGGGGTCTAATATGCACATTTTAATCTAATTTAAGGTTCCACGACTTGGTTTGCTGGGTTTTTCGGGTGGAGGGGCCATTCTTGGACATTTTAATGCATGTTTAACTTAGTGTGATAACTAAATCCCCAGGAGGGGCCATTGTCATACAAATCAGCAACTTGAGGGTCACATTTAATTAAAACGTATCAATGTTTGCACAGTTCGTCTTCCTCATTCTTGGACGTGATTCACAGTTGAATAAAGGGAAATGAGACCCATCTGCTGGGTCTCTTGACCTCGGTTGTTCGTAAGGGCTAAAACACGAATGATGGTGATGGCGAAAGGGCTTACAGTGGGTAGGCGGTGGTCACGAGTGGTTAGCGTCGGCAGTAGCAAGTCCGGCGATGGCGGCGGTCGGCGGCGTTTGAGCGGCAGGGGTTGCTCCGGCGGCCTTCTGTTGCTTCGCTTCTGCTTAAACTCGATGGAAAAGACGAAAGGAAGGATGGAGGGAGATGGTGATGATCAGAAACAACAACATTGCCGATGATGGAGGCTGTTGGGTGCTTCTCTGGTCGGTAGTGAGCGGTGGGTGGCGTTTTCCGACGACTTTTAGCAAGGAAACGTTTTCCGATGATGGTGGAACTCCACCAAAACAGTGGATGTGTGGTGGTTCCTGGTGATGTTCGATGGTCACAAGGATGATGGTGTAAGGTTGGTGGTTTACGGTGGGCCTGCGGTGGTTTGTGGCTCCACAGCGGTGGTTCAACACCGGAAGGTTGGCAGTAGGTGGCGGTGTTTTGAGCAGTGGCGGAGCCAGGGTCAAAGTAAAGGGGTATCCCAGCACAAAAAAAAATGTAATATACAATAAGAGAAAATAAAATTCAGAATTTCAATAGACATAAAGTTCATAACAAAGTTACGTTTTAAAGTTCACATCTTCACTCTTTTATTTGACGAAAACGATTAGTTACAAAGATTGATAATAGATATCTAGAACATCCGTTTCGATTCCGGTAATTAATTCTTTTAATTGTTATAATAATAATAATAATAATAATAAATCATTACTCTTTGAATAAACATTATATATCTCAAGGGGGTAAATAGCAATTTCCAGAAACTGTTTTAATTAGATAAATTGGCTAAAGGGTAGATTCCGTTTATATGCTTAAACCCGAGTGGTCAATTGTGTCAAAAACGTAATGTCTTGATCTGTTATCAAAAGTCGACGCAGCTGTGTATCCATGGCCTTTTTGCTTGATTTAAACATACAAATGCTCAAATCTTTGAAAGCCTCTTAACCCTTACCCTTAGTAACTTCTCTTGGACCATTTGAATCGCTTCTCCCTCCCTCTTAGCTACCAAACCCGAGAGAAAAAGACTGAAAAAAGGGTGAGGTCGTCTAGGGTTTTAGTGGGGAAGAAGACACTTCAAGCTCAACATAAACGAAATATACTACTGAAAAAAAGTTTAGGGGCATCCTGGGATACCCCAGGCTCCAAGGTGGATCTGCCTATGGTTTTGAGGGTGCTTGGTTGATGTTTGACGGTTACACACAACAACAACACCACCACCCCTTGGTGATTGTTCTCGGTAGTGAAGGAAGAAGGTAAACAGAAAACGTGAAGGGTAGTTGATTGAGGG